AGTAAACAGCTTTACTCAGTAGTTGTCATGATTAGTTGTAGGTAGAGTCAACAGCTTTACACAGTGGTTGTCATGATTAGTTGTAGGTAGAGTCAACAGCTTTACACAGTGGTTGTCATGATTAGTTGTAGGTAGAGTCAACAGCTTTACACAGTGGTTGTCATGATTAGTTTTAGGTAGGTTCAACAGCTTTATACAGTTGTTGTCATGATTAGTTGTAGTTACAGTCAACAGCTTTATACAGTGATTGTCATGATTAGTTACAAGTATGGTCAACAGTTTTGGGTGGTGGTTGTCATGATTAATTGTAGGTAAGTTTTAATTGAAAAATTCTGGTGTTTTGACCATTTGTAACATAACATAACGTTTTCGGACAACATGGGACCTATTGGTCCATCATCTGCAAATTTAAGTAATTTATTGATCATTCCTTCATCAATGTCATTGATGTAAATCAAAAAGAGCAAGGGTCCTAAGACTGAGCCCTGAAGTACCCCACTTGTGACATTAGTCCAGTTTGATTGAACTCCATTTGTAACAAGCCTTTTATGTTGCACCTTGTCAAATGTTTTCTGCAAATCCAGATACACTAAATCTACACCCTTACCCTCATTTACATAAGCAGTAACCTTTTTAAAAAATGTCAAAAGATTTGTAAGGCTAGATTTTCCCTTAGTGAAACCACGTTGACTATCCAATAAAAGTATAAACTTTGTTAAATGACTTTGCAAAGCATCTTTTATCAGACTTATCACATTTTTTCCCACTACTGATGTAAGACCAATGGGTCTATAATTACTAGGACAATTTTTATCACCTCCCTTGAACAGAGGAGTTATATCAGCTAACTTCCAATCCTCTGGTACCTGCCCACTATTCAAGGACTGACAAAAAAAATAGTAGTAAGTGTAGTATCTGTATTTATGTTTTTGCAGTTTTAATAAGTTGTTTTGTAGAGTTATGTTAATATTGTCAGTTAATAATTCAACTGGTTATAGGTGTAAATGTGAATTGGTAATAATTAATTATTAAAATTTTTCACATTTTTAGCTTCTGAACATCTCAATTAAAGGTCTGTGTTAATCTTTGGTTTCTGATGACTATTAAAATTAAACCGACTCTATGGCATGTGGCAAATCCAAGAATTCATCTTTCCCTTTTGCAATAATATTTAGTTTTGGTGAAAATATTAGTCTTCAAATACTTTATTTGTTAATCAGTATGAAAAATTAACTTTGACATCAATTTTGTGTCATGTGCATATTGTATCATAGCTTATTTTTGGTGAGTAAAGAATATTCTAAGTAGTGGGTACATAGAATGTTATTTCTTATTGTTATGAATATTGTTTGTGTGTTGATGAATAATTCCCTATATCATTTTGAAAAGTTTGTATTTTTTAATATAATGTATTGTAGGTGAAAGTACAACAGATATATTGAAAATTGCTGTGAGAGCGAGGGCTCGTGCCCTGGGACCTTTTCACCCAGGATTTGATATTAACACTATTCTTCACGATGGGTTGGTCAACATGTTTCCTGAAGATGCTCACCTTCGATCTAATGGTCGGCTCCATGTCTCAGTGACCAGAGTGTCTGATGGAGAAAATGTGTTACTAACTCAGTTTGATAGCAAAGAAGATTTAATCCAGGTTAGCATATTAAATATTATTTGTCCAAAGTATATCATTTTATATTATTATCTTTATTCCAAACTAACAGATAGAATTATAATAAGTGTAAGTGATGTTAAAAATATATCAGTAATATACCTTCTTCATTCGGTTGCTTGTTTGTTATTTAAATAAAAAATATGTGCTATAAGTAAAATATATTGTTTTTTTATGCATATTCTTTCCAATAAAACTCTAGCTGTAAATAGAATAAGTGAATGATAAGTAGATAACTAGACATTGTAGATAGAATAAATTACAGTTTTTATAAAAGTTTAATAATGATATTATAACTATAAATAAAACATATGCATATGTTCAGTAATGAAACTCTAGCTGTAAATAGAATAAGTGAATGATAAGTAGATAACTAGACATTGTAGATAGAATAAATTACAGTTTTTATAAAAGTTTAATAATGATATTATAACTATAAATAAAACATATGCATAAATATATACTTATACATTGTAGATAAAATAAGTTAGTTTTTATGCATATGTTTAGTAATGAAATTCTAGCTGTAAGTATAATAAGTGCATGACAGGTATGTAACTAGAACAAATGGAGTGTACTTAGATTGTTAGGGGTTAAGGAATAAATCAGTACAATCAGAAGTTGTATGAGGTAAACTTTTGATTACACATATGTAAGGAAAGGTGAATTTTTGAAGATGATAAGAATGACTTAACAATGATTGTAAGGATTAAACATTAGCTGCTTAGTTATATAAAACCTGTTTACAGTTGAAATGACTGTTTTGTTGTGAGCTTATATTATTTAAGTCAAAATTAAACAAACCAGTGGTATGTGAAAGGTATAAAAGTTAGTTAAATCTATTAGTAAAGATAGTGATTGATGAATAATCATTTTAGTTTCTTAAAATGGATTAAATCTATTAGTAAAATAAAGTACAATTTGTTCAAAAGCTTTGAAACCAGCTTGTAAAAGTAATACTATCTCAACAGTGGGCATTATAGGAAGCAGAGTAAGATGTGATGGGAATATAAACAGTTGGGTAGGTATAATTGGGAACAATATATTTTATATGTGTGATATGTAAAGTTTTGAAGTAAATAGAAAAACTTACATCACTCAGACACCACAGGAAACTGAATATTATACATGTCATGGGGATATGAACAGTTGGGTAGTTATAATTGTGAACAATATATTTTACATGTGTGATGTGTAAACTTTGAAATAAATAGAAACATCGTTCAAACTCCATAGGAAATTATGAACCTTTTGAAAAATTTGTAACACCATATAAATGGAAAGAGGGAAAAAAACCAATAATAATTAATATTGCATGATAATATACCATCACTGCCACCTTCATCCTTTGGTTCATCAGTAATTTGGGTTGTCCCATTTTAGGCTGACATTGTTTTTCATATTCATGCTTGAGTGTATCAATTAGGAAAAGAAGAAATTGTTTAACAAAACAATTATTTCATAATCATGTTTCTTCAAGAAATACATGATAAGATACATTACATTCTACTAGACCTCTTCCATTGGTATTATTACTGACCTTGAACTTCACCACCAGTTGCAGTCTTCAAGAAATACATGATAAGATACATTACATTCTACTAGACCTCTTCCATTGGTATGATTACTGACCTTGAACTTCACCACCAGTTGCAGTCTGCATCAGAGATTTCTCTTGCTTCCTATCTTTGGAGGTTATATTTGCCTGGACTGTAGTGGTTATGGTTCCAGGTATAGTCAGTACATAACACAGCATTTCTTTTAAAGTTTAACCATCAAAATTGATGTTAGACAACCAATTCGATCACAATGTTCCAGACGTCATAAGTTTCAGTTCTCTGTAAAACTTGTAAATAAGGAAAAAATGTGAGTGTGGATATAATGAGTTATGTATGTAGAGTGATGTCAGTTAGGAATGTGGTAGTATATGTGAAAGTGTTAGGTTAGTGTAAAGTGTGACTGTGGATATAATGAGTTATGTATGTAGAGTGATGTCAGTTAGGAATGTGGTAGTATATGTGAAAGTGTTAGGTTAGTGTAAAGTGTGACTGTGGATATAATGAGTTATGTATATAGAGTGATGTCAGTTAGGAATGTGACAGTATATATGAAAATGTGAGTGTGGATATAATGAGTTATGTCAGTTAGGAATGTGGTAGTATATGTGAAAGTGTTAGTTTTGTGTAAAGTGTGACTGTGGATATAATGAGTTATGTATGTAGAGTGATGTCAGTTAGGAATGCAGTAGTATATGTGAAAGTGTTAGGTTAGTGTAAAGTGTGACTGTGGATATAATGAGTTATGAATGTAGAGTGATGTCAGTTAGGAATGTGGCAGTATATGTGAAAGTGTTAGGTTAGTGTAAAGTGTGACTGTGGATATAATGAGTTATGTATGTAGAGTGATGTCAGTTAGGAATGCAGTAGTATATGTGAAAGTGTTAGGTTAGTGTAAAGTGTGAGTGTGGATATAATGAGTTATGTATGTAGAGTGATGTCAGTTAAGAATGTGGCAGTATATATGAAAATGTGAGTGTGGATATAATGATTTATGTCAGTTAGGAATGTGGTAGTATAAGTGAAAGTGTTAGATTAGTGTAAAAAAGATAATACTAATCCAAACTGACATGTTATAGATAAAATGACAGAGAGGGGTGAACAAAAAAATAAATAAAAGAAAAGCAAATATTAGTGGTCAGCTTTCTGTCTTTTCTATATACTCAAGTTTATATTCAGTGCACTTGTTCATAATGAAGTGACCTTGTCACAATCTTATCATTACTTAGCAAGGTTTTTAATTCAGTAAATCTGTTGCTACTGAATGTCCTTGTCTTAAAATGATATCATTATCAATAACTTTTTTTTACATCTTGCACTTTTTTCTCAGGAGAAGAGATACAGTATTGTTTCTGATAAAATTGTGGTGAAAGTGTTTTTCTGGTACTAACAATACTGTAGTAGCTCAAGGTTAACACAGTACATCTGTCTGATCCAATGAGGTAGTAGAAAAATAGACTTGAACATTAGAACGATCTTATTAAAGAAAATAAAAAATATGGTATAGTTTGTTCAGTAAAGATGTCAGTAAACATTTTATGTTTTATTCAACTAAAATATGCATAATAAGAGGTATTATAATGTAAGCAAAATCAAGTTTCTTTTTTTTCAAAACTATAAACTAGTCATCCTCTCTTTTACTAGAAAGAAAAAAACATGAAATACTGATTGTTATTTTACTTATGTTATTCATTGCAGTTTTTTTTTTGTTTTCTCATTTTAGGCTTTGTTATGTAGCTGTTTCATTCCATTCTACACAGGAATATTGCCTCCAAAATTTCATGGAGTGGTAAGTAATATAGTCTTTGCTGTTATGATAAGAAATTTATGATGTAACTGTTCATTCCAGTCTACTCAGGAGTGCTACATTTAAAATTCCAGTGATAAGTGACTCCAGGGGAAAGTTCTGCTTACTTCATCTGGGAATTGAATATTTATCCATGTTTTTTGTGCATATGGCCAAGGAAGAGAGGATTCTTGCAGCTGAGTCTCACCCAAGTTAATAGAACACATTGCTTTGCCTTTCAGTTCTTATAGACATTTGGTAGATCATTAGTGGATGAATACTTTCATTGAACTCTGTCCAGTGTCCTGTGTTTGGATATACAAATCCTGGTGTTGGTAGGATGGCATCTGGTAGAACACCATTGGTGGATGAGGTCACTGGATAGTTAATTTATTTTCATTTTCAAGAAAGTTCCAACTTTTAACTCTTCAAAAAGGACTTTATAAAAAGGCCCTGAACCAAAATACTCTGCCCTAGTTTCTCTCCACTTTCATCTAATGAGGCTATCAGTGCCTTACTTCCTAATTGTCCATTCCCTGACATAATCTTCCTTTTTTCCAGAAGAACTAAGTTTTAAACTTTTGAAGGGTTTACCATTGTGGTTGCTTTCCAGGACAATAATGTCAGCTCTCATTATTTTGTTATTGTGACTTTTTGTGTTGGTTACAAGGTTCATAAAATGGACAAAGCCCATATAATGTTAAGGTAGAGAACATCTATATAAAAGAGGAAGTTTGTTTATTTGTTTGCTCTAGGAAACCAAATGGTTGAACTTACAAATTTT